AATTTTGTATTTTATTTATTTATCTTTTTTAGATGGAGTTTGTCTTATCGCCCAGGTCGGAGTGCAGTGCTGTCATCTCGACTCACGGCAACCTCCGCCTTCAGGGTTCAAGCGATTCTCCTGCCTCAGTCTCCCGAGTAGCTGGGATTATAGGTGCCCACCACCACGTCTGGCTAATTTTTTGTATTTTTGGTGGAGACGGAGTTTCTCCACGTTGGTCAGGCTGGTCTCGAACTCCCGACCTCAGGTGATTCACCTGCGTCAGCCTCCCAGAGTCCTGGGATTACAGACGTGAGTCACCACGTCCAGCTAACTTTTGTATTTTTAGTAGAGACGGGGTTTCATCATCTTGGTCAGGCTGGTCTCGAACTCCTGACCTGAGTTGATCCACCTGCCTCGGCCTGACAAAGTGTTAGGATTTACACGTGTGAGTCACCATGTCCAGCTGATTTTTGTATTTTTACTAGAGATGAGGTTTTGCCACGTTTCCCAGGCTGGGCTTGAAGTCCCGACCTCAGGTGATGCACCTGCCTCAGCCTCCTAGACTGCTGGTTTACAGGTGTAAACCAACGTGTCCAGCTAATTTTTGCATTTTTAGTAGAGACGGGGTTTCGCCATGTTGGTCAGGCTGGGCTCGAACTCCCGACCTCAGGTGATCCACCTGCCTCAGCCTCCCAGAGTCCTGGGATTACAGATGTGAGTCACCATGTCCAGCTAACTTTTGTATTTTTAGTAGAGACGGGGTTTTGCCATGTTGGTCAGGCTGGTCTCGAACTCCTGACCTCAGGTGATGCACCTGCCTCAGCCTCCTATACTGCTGGTTGGTGTAAACCAACGTGTCCAGCTAATTTTTGCATTTTTAGTAGAGACGGGGTTTCGCCATGTTGCTCAGGCTGGGCTTGAACTCCCGACCTCAGGTGATCCACCTCCCAGAGTGCTAGGATTACAGGTGTGAGCGAACGTATCCGGCCCTCTATAGTCTTTTTTTTTTTTTAAGATGGGGTTTCACCATATTGGTCAGGCTGGTCTCGAACTCCCGACCTCAGGTGATCCCGGCCCTTACACTCTTAAACTGGGATGCCATCTATCCAGCTTGTTACCATCGAAGTGTTTGTGGGGTCACGGGGAGAATGCCCACCAGCTGGGTCGCCTGGTCTGGGAACCCGGTCCTGGGTGAAGGCGCACTCTGCGTGTGGCTGGAGATAGATGAGCTCTCAAGTGTCTGGATGTCCAGCCCAGCTTGAGTGCAGAGACCACACAATCGCACGCTGGTGCGACATTCTCGTAGTTTAGCAGAGAACGTGATGCCCAGGCTTAGAAAGTTAGCCCGTGGGCCGGGCGCGGTGGCTCACGTCTGACATTCCAGGACTTTGGGAGGCCGAGGTGTGCGGATCACAAGGTCAGGAGTTCGAGACCATCCTGGTCAACATGGTGAAACCGCGTCTCTACTAAAAATACAAAAAAAAAAAAAAATTAGCTGTGCATGGTGGTGAGCGCCTGTAGTCCCAGCTACTCGGGAGGCTGAGGCAGGAGAATCTCTTGAACCCGGGAGGCGGAGGCTGCAGTGAGCCGAGATCGCACCATTGCACCCCGGCCTGGGAGACAGGAGTGAAACTCTGTCTCAAAGAAAAAAAAAGTTAGCATGCGACATGTTTTTTTTTCTTTTCTCTTTTGAGAAAGAGTCTCGCTCTGTCGCCCAGGCTGGAGTGCAGTGGCGTGATCTGGGCTCACTGCAGCCTCCGCCTCCCGGGTTCCAGCGCTTCTCCTGCCTCAGCCTCCCAAGTAGCTGGGATGACAGGCGCGCTCCCCAGGGCCCGGCTATTTCTTGTATTTTATTTATTATTATTTTTAAGTACAGATGGGGTTTCACCGTGTTGGCCAGGCTGGTGTGTGATATGCTTTCAAGAAAAGCTCAGGTCGCGTGCAGAGAACCAAGCCTGTCATCCCACTACTTTGAGAGGCTGAGGCAGGAGGATCGCTTGAGTCCAGGAGTTCGAGACCAGCCTGGCCGACATGGTAAAACCCTGCCTCTCCTAAAAATCCTAAAATTAGCTGAGCGTGATGGCGGGCAGCTGCCACCACAGAGTGAGACTCTGTCTCAAAAAAGGAAAAATGGGGAAGAGAAAGAAGAAGGGAGCGGACGGGAGGGGAGGGGAGGAGAGGGGAGGGGGGAGTGGAGAGGAGGGGAGGGGAGGGGAGGGGAGGGGAGGGGGGGAGTGGAGAGGAGGGGTGGGGAGGGGAGGGGAGGGGGGAGTGGAGACAAGGGGAGTGCAGGGGAAGGGAGGGGGTAGTGGAGAGGAGGGCAGGGGAAAGGAGGGAAGGGGAGGGTAGGGGAGTGGAGAGGAGGGGAGGGGAGGGGAGGGGAGGGGGGAGTGGAGAGGAGGGGAGGGGAAAGGAGGGGAGGGGGGAGTGGAGAGGAGGGGAGGGGAGGGGAGGGGAGGGGGGAGTGGAGAGGAGTGGAGAGGAGTGGAGGGGAGGGGAGGGGAGGGGAGTGGAGAGGAGGGGAGGGAGGGGAGGGGAGTGCAGGGAAGGACAGGGAGGGGAGTGGAGGAGTGGAGAGGGAAAGGAAGAGGAGAAAAGGGGGGGGAGGGGAGGGAAGGGGAAAGGAATGGTGGGGAGGGGAAGAGAGGAGAAGGGCAGGAAAGGACAGGGAGGGGGAGAGGTGGGGAGAGGAGAAAGGAGGGGCATGGAGGGGACTTAGGGAGGGAAGGGAGGGGAAGGGAGGGGAAGGGAGAGGAGGGGAGAGCAAGGGAAGGGTGCAGAGGGGAGGGAAGGGCAGGAAAAGGCAAGGAGGGGAGGAGAAGAGGGGAAGGGAGGGGAGGGGAAAGGAGAGGAATGGAGGGGAGGGGATGGAAGGGAAGGGCAGGGAGGTGAGGGGAGTGGAGGAGTGGAGAGGAGGAGAGGGGAGGGAAGGGGATGGGAGGGGTGGGGAGGGGAAGAGAGGGGAAGGGAGGGGAGGGGAGGGGAGGGAAGGGAAGGGAAGGGCTCAGTGGCACATGTGTAAATCCTGATCGTGGATTGTGTGTGTGTCTGTCTGTGTGTCTGTGTGTGTGTCTGTGTGACTGTGTGTGTGTCTCTGTGTGTGTCTGTGTGTCTGTGTCTGTGTGTCTCTGTGTGTGTCTGTGTGTATCTCTGTGTGTGTCTGTGTGTATGTCTGTCTCTGTGTGTGTGTCTGTGTGTCTGTGTGTGTGTATCTCTGTGTGTGTCTCTGTGTGTGTCTGTGTGTCTATGTGTGTGTGTCTGTGTGTCTGTTTGTGTCGGTGTGTCTGTGTGTGTGTCTGTGTGTCTGTTTGTGTCGGTGTGTCTGTGTGTGTGTCTGTGTGTCTCTGTGTGTGTCTGTGTCTGTGTGTGTCTGTGTCTATGTGTATGTATGTGTGTCTATGTTTGTGTGTCTGTGTGTCTGTGTGTCTATGTGTTTGTGTGTGTCTGTGTGTGTGTCTATGTGTGTGTCTGTGTTTGTTTGTGTCGGTGTGTTCTGTGTGTGTCTGTGTGTGTATGTGTGTGTGTCTATGTGTGTCTGTGTGTGTGTCTGTGTTTGTTTGTGTCGGTGTGTCTCTGTGTGTGTCTGTGTGTGTATGTGTGTGTGTCTATGTGTGTCTGTGTGTGTGTCTGTGTTTGTTTGTGTCGGTGTGTCTCTGTGTGTGTCTGTGTGTGTATGTGTGTGTCTGTGTCTGTGTGTCTATGTGTGCGTATCTGTGTATCTATGTTTGTGTGTCTGTGTGTCTATGTGTTGTGTGTGTCTGTGTGTGTCTGTTTGTCTATGTGTGTGTGTCTGTGTGTGTTTATGTGTGTCTGTGTGTCTATGTGTGTGTCTGTGTGTATGTGTGTCTGTGTGTGCGTCTGTGTGTCTATGTGTGTATGTGTGTGTCTGTGTGTGTCTATGTGTGTGTCTGTGTGTCTGTGTGTCTATGTGTGTCTGTGTGTGTGTCTGTGTGTGTGTCTATGTGTGTGTCTGTATGTGTGTCTGTGTGTCTATGTGTGTGTGACTGTGGGTCTGTGTGTCTGTGTGTGTCTACGTGTGTGTCTGTGTGTGTCTATGTGTGTCTATGTGTGTCTGTGTGTGTCTGTGTGTCTATGTGTGTGTCTGTGTGTGTCTGTGTGTCTATGTGTGTGTCTGTGTGTGTCTGTGTGTGTCTATGTGTGTGTCTGTGTGTCTATGTGTGTGTGTCTGTGTGTGTGTCTGTGTGTGTGTCTGTGTGTGTCTGTGTGTGTCTATGTGTGTGTCTGTGTGTGTGTCTGTGTGTCTATGTGTGTGTGACTGTGGGTCTGTGTGTCTGTGTGTGTCTACGTGTGTGTCTGTGTGTGTCTATGTGTGTCTATGTGTGTCTGTGTGTGTCTGTGTGTCTATGTGTGTGTCTGTGTGTGTTTGTGTGTCTGTGTGTGTCTGTGTGTGTCTGTGTGTGTCTCTGTGTGTCTATGTGTGTGTCTGTGTGTGTGTCTGTGTGTCTGTGTGTGTGTGTGTCTATGTGTGTGTCTGTGTGTGTCTATGTGTGTGTCTGTGTGTCTATGTGTGTGTCTGTGTGTCTGTCTGTGTGTGTGTGTCTGTGTGTGTCTATGTGTGTGTCTGTGTGTGTGTCTATGTGTGTGTGTCTATGTGTGTGTGTCTATGTGTGTGTCTGTGTGTGTCTATGTGTGTGTGTCTGTGTGTCTATGTGTGTGTGACTGTGGGTCTGTGTGTCTGTGTGTGTCTACGTGTGTGTCTGTGTGTGTCTATGTGTGTGTCTGTGTGTGTTTGTGTGTCTGTGTGTGTCTGTGTGTGTCTATGTGTGTGTCTGTGTGTGTCTGTGTGTGTCTGTCTGTGTGTGTCTGTGTGTGTCTATGTGTGTGTCTGTGTGTGTGTGTCTCTGTGTGTCTATGTGTGTGTCTGTGTGTGTGTCTGTGTGTCTGTGTGTGTGTGTGTGTGTTCTCGACAAGCGTATCTTTCAAAACCAAGCGTCAGTGTGTTTCCTGCGTCTTATCGTTTCCCTGGCTTCCTTTCTGCCTTTTTAAAAAGGGAGTGACCTCTGCCTGTGAGTCACGCGCCACCTCCTCCCCGTAGGTGCCCCAGGGGCTCACTTCTCGCTCCTGTGTCAGGCATGAGGACGTTCCTTCTGCTGTGGGGAGCTGCAGTCTCTCTGCGGGGAGGCCGGGTGACTTCGGGGCAAGTGGACACAGGTAGGACACAACCACTCCCGGCGTAAAATGTCCTTCATTCCAACACCCTCTTCTTGTATTTTGCTTTGGGGATTCCTTGCAGGTTTCATTCATTCATTTCTTTTTTTGAGACGGAGTCTCGCTCTGTTGCCCAGGCTGGAGGGTACTGGTGTGATCTTGTCTCACTGCAACCTCCCCCTCCGGGGTTCAATCAATTTTCCTGCCTCAACTTCCCAAGTAGCTGGGATGAGACACATGCCCTCTTGGTAGCCAGAACTACACAAGGAATTGTGTCTGTGTGTGTCTGTTTATCTATTGATGGATTGATTGGTAGATGTGTGTATCTGTGTGTCTGAGTGTTTATTGATGGATTGATTGGTAGATATTCTAATTTTTAATCTATCCATCAACTTATCTCATCTGTCTTTTCCCATTCCTCATCCATCCAACCATCCACCATTCATTCATCTATTATCCATCCATCCATCCACCACCCACTCATCAAAGCATCCATGTACCCATGCATTTACCCACCCATAAACCCACCCACCCATCCACCCATCCATCCATCCACTCACCCTTTCACACACATATACATCTATCCACTTGTCCATCTATCCAACCATCCACCCACCATCCACCCAGCTATTATCCATCCATCCATCCACCAATACCTCCATGCACCCACCCATTCTTTTATCCACTTATCCATCCACCAATCCACTCATCAATCCATCATCCACCCATCTACTCTGCATGCTTCTTTACATCCACCCACCCACCCATCCACCCACCCATCCATCCATCCATCAATCCACCAATACATCCCTCTGCTCACCCATTCTTTCATCCACATATCCATCCATCCATCCATCCATCCAACCATCCATCCATCAATCCACCAATAAATCCCTCTACCCATCCATTCTTTCATCCACTTATCCATCCATCCATCCATCCATCCATGAATCCGTCATCCACCCATCCACCATCCATCCATCCTTCCACCAATACATCCATCTACCCACCCATTCTTTCATCCACTTATCTATCCATCCATCCACCCATCCACCTATCTATCTGTTCATCCATCCATCCATCCATCCATCCATCCATCCATCCATCCAATACATCCATGCACCAATCCATTCTGTCATCCACTTATCCATCCATCCATCCATCCATCCACCCATCAATCCGTCATCCACCCATCTACCATGCATCCATCCATCCATCCAATACATGCATGCACCCACCCATTCTGTCATCCACTTATCCATCCATCCATCCATCCATCCATCCATCCATCCATCCATCCACGCATCAATCCGTCATCCACCCATCTACCATGCATCCATCCATCCATCCAATACATCCATGCACCCATCCATTCTGTCATCCACTTATCCATCCATCCATCCATCCACCCATCAATCCGTCATCCACCCATCTACCATCCATCCATCTATCCAATACATCCATGCACCCACCCATTCTGTCATCCACTTATCCATCCATCCATCCATCCATCCATCCACGCATCAATCCGTCATCCACCCATCTACCATGCATCCATCCATCCATCCAATACATGCATGCACCCACCCATTCTGTCATCCACTTATCCATCCATCCATCCATCCATCCATCCATCCATCCATCCACGCATCAATCCGTCATCCACCCATCTACCATGCATCCATCCATCCATCCAATACATCCATGCACCCATCCATTCTGTCATCCACTTATCCATCCATCCATCCATCCATCCATCCATCCATCCACCCATCAATCCGTCATCCACCCATCTACCATCCATCCATCTATCCAATACATGCATGCACCCACCCATTCTGTCATCCACTTATCCACCCATCCAGCCATCCACCATCCACCTATCTATCTGTTCATCCACGCACGCACCCACCCATGTACACATCTACATATCCATCCATCCACTCACCTGCCCATCCACCCATCCACCTACCTGTTCATGCATTTATCCATGCACCCACTCACCCATCCGCCCATCCACCCACTTGCCTTCCGTGTACACACCCACCTGTCCATCTAGTCATCCATCCACCCAGCCATCCCTATCTATCTGCCTCTGTCCATTGCCATGATTATCTATATAACTCTATCTATCTACCGTTACGGTCTATCTATCCACCCTGCAGATACCTCCGTGTAGACTACAGCACGGCGAGTTTCAATCTACCTGTATTCTAAACCTGTAACTCACTTCTCTGCCACTGACAGACGTGGCTCCCCTCATCCAAGATATCGTGACATATTTCCCGTGTCTTGAAATGTACCCATTTGCCGCTTTCAGAATCGCAAACCGGGACATCTTGACACCTCAAACCCACTGAAGCCTCAGTAACCTTTCAAGCAAAGATGGAAGTTCTTATTTCTTTTTCTTTTCTTTGAAAAACATCAAGATGTTAAAAATTCAATCACTTCCCTTATTTTTGTTGGTTTTTGATATAGAGTCTCGCCCTGTCGCCCAGGCTGGAGTGCAATGGTGCGATCTCAGCTCACCGCAACCTCCGCCTCCCGGGTTCAAGGGATTCTCCCGCCTCAGCCTCCCGAGTACCTGTGACTACAGGAGTGCACAAGGACGTCCGGCTAATTTCTGTATTTTTAGTAGAGACAGAAATTGTCACTACTAAATGATGATGTCACTACTAAATGGATGATGAATTGATGGGTGAAATGGTCACCGTGTTGGCCAGGCTGGTCTCGAACTCCTGACCTCAGGTGATCCTCCCGCCTCAACCTCCCAACGTGCTGGGACGATCATAGGCCTGGCCAGTCCTCTGTGGTTTTCAAATCAGCGTCTCAGGGTTAGGGTGCAAGGACGGGCTTCCTTTCGTGGGTTTCTGGCTTTAGAGCGGCCGCACAGCCACCTTCACGTGTCTGTCTGTGTCCAGGGGAAGCGATACACGTTCAGATAATCTACTTCAATCTGGAAGTCGTGCACATCACGTGGAATTCCAGTGAGTACGCCGGGACCAGCCTGACTTTCTTTTACAGGTAAGTGCTGTGACCAAGCCACGGGGGCTCACGTGGCTCTTCTGGCCCGTCTGCAACGTGGGAAGGACAGAAATCTAACCCGTGACGCGTCAGACTCTCTGAGAGTTCTCCATGTCTGTTCTGTGTAACCCTCAGCCCTCCCCAAAACCACAAGCCCGTTTCCCCAACCTTCTGGCTGAGGCGTAGCTGAGTCATGCTCAAAATCACCTACATTATAAATTTTCTTTTCTTTTCTTTTTTTTTTTGAGATGGAGTCTCTCTGTGTCCCAAGGCTGGAGCGCAGTGGCGTGATCTCGGCGCACCGCAACCTCCGCCTCCCGGGTTCAAGCGATTCTCCTGCCTCACCCTCCCGTGTGGCTGGGATTATAGTCCCCTGTCACCACGCCCAGCTAATATTCTGGATTTTCCGTAGAGACGGGGTTTCACTTTCTTGGCCAGGCTGCTTTCAAACTCCTGACCTCAGGTGATCCACCTGCCTCAGCCTTCGAAAGTGCTGGGATTAGAACTTTGGGAGACCGAGGCAGGTGGATCACAAGGTCAGGAGTTCAAGACCAGCCTGGCCAACATGATGAAACCCAGTCCTTACTAAAAATACCAAAAAAACAAAAAAAAAAAAACAAAAACAGCTGGGCCTGATGGCGAGCGCCTATAATCAATCTCAGCTACTTGGGAGGCTGAGGTAGGAGAATGTCTTGAACCCCGCAGGTAGACTGCACTCCAGCCTGGGCAACACAGCGAGACTCCATCTCAAAAAACACTTTGGGAGGCCGAGGCGGGTGGATCACGATGTCAGGAGTTCTAGACCAGCCTGATCAACACGGTGAAACCTTGTCTCTACCAAAAATACCAAAATTAGCCGGGCGTGGTGGCAGGTGCCTGTAGTCCCAGCTACTCGGGAGGCTGAGGCAGGAGAATTGCCTGAACCCGGGAGGAGGAGGTTGCGGTGAGCTGAGATCGCGCCATTGCACTCCAGCCTGGGTGACACAGAAGACCGCGCCCGGTCTTCTTTTTTTTTTTAAGATGGGGTGTCACCATGTTGCTCAGGCTGGTCTTGAACTCCCGACCTCAGGTGATCCCCACCCCCCCCCACCACCATGGCTTCCAAAGTGTTTGGATTACAGGCGTGAGCTCCGAGCCCAGCCGTGAACTTGAAATCTTATCTGCTGGGCGGCTCAGGAGGTGAAGACTCAGTCTCTGAAATCTTCCACACCAGGTAATCTCGGCCCGGACCCCTTAAGGCATGTGGCTGAGCGTGTGTCAGGAAGGGTTTTTCCAATACATTTAGTCAGAATTCAGGGAAGGGGAGGTGTGTCATGGCTGGCTCAGTCTTCAGTTTGATGGCAAAACAGATAAACCGGAAAGCATACGGATCAGAGAAATTTTCAGATGAAGTTATTTGTGAAATAAGACTCACACTTGGGAGGCTGAGACGCACAGATCACCTGAGGTCGGGAGTTCGAGACCAGCCTGTCCAAGATGGCGAAACCCCGTCTCTACTAAAAATACAAAAATTAGCTGGGTGTGGTGGCGGCACCTGTAATCCCAGCTGATTGGGAGGCTGAGGCAGGAGGATCGCTTGAACCCGGGAGGCGGAGGTTGCAGTGAGCCAGGATCGCACCCCCGCACTCCAGCCTGGGCGACAGAACCAGACTCTGTCTCAAAAAACAAAATGAAATTAAAAAAACCACATACACACATTTGTGTGGTTACAGGTCTGGGAACCATACCCTGAAATGCATGTCGTGGACTAAAATCAGCTGTGAGCAGCGCCGTGTCCTCTGGGGCATTGAGGGAAGAGTCTGCTTCCTGGCATTTGAACCTAGAAGAAACGAGACTAGTGGCCGCCTTACTCTAGACAGAAAAAAAGGGGTGACCGGGTGGGGGGGGGGTTCACGCCTGAATCCAAGCACTTTGGAGGCCAAGGCGGGCTGATCACAAGGTCAGGAGTTCGAGACCGGCCTGGCCAACATGGTGAAACCCCGTCTCTATTAAAAATACAAAAATGAGCCGTGCATGGTGGCGGGCACCTGTAGTCCCAGCTACTGTGGAGGCTGAGGCGGGAGGATCGCTTGAACCCGGGAGGCGGAGGCTGCAGTGAGCTGAGATTGCACCACTGCGCTCCACCCTGAGGGACAGAGCGAGACTCCATCTCAAAAATAATAATAATTATAACGAAAAGACTCACAGAAACAAAAAAAAAAGTGCTGGGTTTTCCCTGTGCTGTGACACAGATGACTCACGTTAGCTCAGTTCCCTTCTCTGTAAAGGGGTCCCTTTTGGAGCCACGAGCTGCCGGGACATTGGACATGAAGAATAAGCCGGTTGGTCTCCCGCTGGCTTCTAATTATGGCTGCGGGACGACCGCAGAGTGACACATAATCCTGGCACGTTCCCGTACCTCAAAGACCCTCGGGAAAGTGGAGGCTTGGTGACCCTGACAGTTAAAGCATAGAGGTTTCTTCGGGTACATTTATAAACTATCACATGCTGGGCAGCTGAGATCAACAGATAGTCCCTCTCCTATTCACGGAGGGCAGACGTCCTAAAGCGAGCACTGGGCAGGGGTTTCCTCAGTCCATCCTCCCAGGAGGATCTTCCCTGCATCTCCCAGCTCCCGGGGCTCCAGCATCCCTGGGCTTGTGGCCCCATCACCCCGGCCTCTGTCTTCATCTGCACGTGCCTTCTCCTCTATGTTCTTTGCTACGTCTTATAAGAAATATTCTTTTTTTTTTTTTTTTTGAGACAGAGTCTTACTCTCACCCAGACTGGAGTGCAGTGGCTCGATCTCGGCTCACTGCAACCTCTGCCTCCCGGGTTCAAGAGATTGTCCCGCCTCAGCCTCCCGAGTACCTGGGATTACAGGTGCCTGTCACCACACACGGCTTATTTTGGTGTTTTTAGTAGAGATGGGGGTGGGAGGGTTTCAGTACGTTGGCCAGGGTGGTCTCAAACTCCTGACCTCGTGATCCGCCCGCCTCGGCCTCCCCCAGTGCTGGGATTCCAGGCGTGAGCGACCGTGCCCGGCCATAAAAATATTGTAATTGGATCGTGGGCTCCCATTCACCCAGGATGCTTTTATTTCAGTTGTGACCCAATCATATCTGCAATGACCCTGTTTGCAGGTAAGATTCCGGTCACAGGTTCTGGGAGTGGGGACATCAGAGGCACCGCCACGCCCAGCTCATTTTTGTATTTTTAGTAGAGATGAGGTTTCACCGTGTTGGCCAGGCCGGTCTCGAACTCCTGACCTTGTGACCCACCCGCCTCGGCCTCCCAAAGTGCTGGGATGACAGGCATGGGCCACCGCGCCTGGCTCAAGGGGTTTGAGCATTTGTGAGAGGTCGGTTTTCTCTTTGGACAGGTCTGGCTGTAGTTAGCTGTTAGGAAGGGGCACTGAAGGCAGCGACGAGAGATCCTAGCTGGGGACCACCGTCACCATGTGAAGGGAGAAACGGCCATGACGTGTGTTACAGGCTATTTTAAAAATCACTTGAATCTGGACGGCGCAGGTTGCAGTTAGCCGAGATCGCAGCACTGCACTGGAGCCTGGGCCACACAGCGAGACTCCGTCTCAAATAAGGACACGGGAAGGAATCGGAGATGCCCTCTGCTGCCCTTGCCCACACACACACATAAAGACACACACAGAGACACACACATACACAGACACACACACAGACACACACACACAAAGACACACACGGACACCACAGACACACACATGCACACACAAAGACACACACGGACACCACAGACACACACATGCACACACAAAGACACACACATACACAGACACACACACAGACACACACACACAAAGACACACACGGACACCACAGACACACACATGCACACACAAAGACACACACGGACACCACAGACACACACATGCACACACAAAGACACACACGGACACCACAGACACACACATGCACACACAAAGACACACACATACACAGACACACACACAGACACACACACAGACACACAGACACATACACACAAAGACACACACGGACACCACAGACACACACAAACACACATGCAGACACACACAGACACAGACACACATGTGCACACACAAAGACACACAGATACACAGACACACACACACAGCCACACACAGACAGACACCCACACACACAAAGACACACGGACACCACAGACACACACGCAGACACACACAGACACAGACACACACAGACACACACACATAGACACAGGCACACACACACAGAGACACAGACACATACAGACACACACACAGAGACACAGACACAGACACACGGAGACACACATGCACACACAAAGACACAGACACACACACAGACACGCACACAGAAAGACACAGAGACACACAGACACATACACCACGACACAAACACACAGACACACACAGACGCATAGATACAGAGACACACAGACACATACAGACACACACACAGAGACACAGACACAGACACATAGAGGCACACATGCACACACAAAGACACACACAGACACAGACACACACAGAGACACACACAGACACACATGCACACAGAAAGACAGACACACGTACACACATGACACAAACACACAGACACACACAGACGCATAGATAGAGACACACAGACACATACAGACACACACAGAGACACAGACACAGACACATAGAGGCACACATGCACACACAAAGACACACAGAGACACAGACACACAGACACACACGCACACAGAAAGACACACACAGACACACACGTACACACACGACACAAACACACAGACACATACAGACGCATAGATACAGAGACACACAGACACAGATACACACATACATACACATAGACACAGATACACAAACACACACAGAGACACACGCACACACAGACACACACACGCGTGCACACACACACACAGGGAGCGGTGGCTCAGGCCTGTAATCCCAGCACTTTTGGAGGCTGAGGCGGGTGGATCACCTGGAGTCAGGAGTTCAAGACCAGCCTGAGCAACACGGTAAAACCTCATTTTAAACCACAGATTCCATTCGGATGAGGCCTATCGCCAGTGCCCCAAGTACATTGTGCACCAAGGTCACACTTCGGGGTGCCTCCTAGACGCGGAGCAGAGAGACGACATTCTCAGTTTCTCCATCAGGAACGGAACGCACCCCGTTTTCAGCGCGAGTCGCTGGATCTATGAGTACCGTAAGTGTCCTAAAGCGAGCTCACCATGCTTTTCAGTATTTCCTTCAGCTCATTCCCGTAAGTTTCGGAAAGCCAGCTCATTCTACTCCCCCGATAAATGATTACCATAACTATTGTAAAGCAAGCCCACCATACTTTTCAGTATTTTCTTCAGCTCATTCCCGTAAGTACTGGAAAGCCAGCTCATGCTAGTCCCCCGATAAATGATTACCATAACTATTGTAAAGCAAGCCCACCATACTTTTCAGTATTTTCTTCAGCTCATTCCCGTAAGTACTGGAAAGCCAGCTCATGCTAGTCCCCCGATAAATGATTACCATAACTATTGTAAAGCAAGCCCATCATACTTTTCAGTATTTTCTTCAGCTCATTCCCGTAAGTACTGGAAAGCCAGTTTATGCTAGTCGCCTTGATGAATGATTACCATAACTATTGTAAAGCAAGCCCACCGTGCTTTTCGGTATTTCCTTCAGCTCATTCCCGTAAGTTTCAGAAAGCCAGCTCATTCTACTCCCCCATAAATGATTACCATAACTATTGTAAAGCAAGCCCATCATACTTTTCAGTATTTTCTTCAGCTCATTCCCGTAAGTACTGGAAAGCCAGCTCATGCTAGTCCCCTTGATGAATGATTACCATAACTATTGTAAAGCAAGCCCATCATACTTTTCAGTATTTTCTTCAGCTCAGTCCCGTAAGTACTGGAAAGCCAGCTCATGCTAGTCGCCTTGATGAATGATTACCATAACTATTGTAAAGCAAGCCCACCATAGTTTTCAGTATTTTCTTCAGCTCAGTCCCGTAAGTACTGGAAAGCAAGCTTATGCCTGTCCCCGATCAATGATTATACCATAACGAATGTAAAGCAAGCCCACTATACTTTTCAGTACTTTTTTCAGCTCATTCCCCTAAGTACTGAAAAGCAAGCTCATACCAGTCGCTGGATCAATGGATTCGTGCAGCGATTGAAAATCAAGTTCACCCCCCGCCTCTCTGCTAAAAAATACAAAAAATTAGCTGGGTGTGGTGGTTGCACTCCTGTGTAATCCCATCTCGTGGGGAGGCTGAGGCAGGAGAGTCTCTTGAACCCGGAAGGCAGAGATTGCAGTGAGCCGAGATCACACCACTCAGACTCCTTCTCAAATAAATAGGGGAATGAATCAGAGGTGCCCTCTGGTGTCCTTGCCTACACACACATAGACACACAGACACACACACAGACACAGACACACAGACACAGAAACACACATAGACACACAGACACACACACAGACACAGACACACAGATACACACAGACACAAAAAGACATATATACACACAGACACACACATAGACACACAGACACACACACAGACACAGACACACAGATACACATAGACACAAAAACACAGACATATATACACACAGACACACACATAGCCACACAGACACACACACAGACACAGACACACAGATACAGACACAGAAACGCAGACATATATACACACAGACACACACACATAGACACACAAACACACACAGACACAGACACACAGATACACACAGACACAGAAACGCAGACATATATACACACAGACACAGACACAGACACACAGATACACACAGACACACAGAGACACATACACAGACACACATATACACACACAGAGACAGACACACACATACACACATGCACACAGACACAATATACACAGACACACAGACACACACACAGAGACACAGACACACATACAGACACACACATACACACATATACACAGACACACACACATACAAACACACAGACACATATGCACCCAGACACACACAGACATACACACAGACACACATATACACACACAGACACATATACAGACACACACAGACACACATACACACATATACACAGACACACACACATACAGACACACAGACACATATGCACCCAGACACACACAGACATACACACAGACACACATATACACACACACAGACACACATACAGACATACACAGACACACATACACACAGAGACACACACAGACACATACACACAGAGACACACACAGACACACACACAGACACATATACACACAGACACACAGAGACACACACAGACACACATACAGACATACACACAGAGACACACACACAGACACATACACACAGAGACACACACAGACACACACACAGAAACATATACACACAGACACACATACAGACACACACAGACACACATACACACAGACACACAGACACACACAGACACATATACACCCAGACACAAATGCACCCAGACACACACAGGCACACACACAGACACATATACACACAGACACACACACAGACACACATACACACATATACACAGACACACATACATACAGACACACAGACACATATGCACCCAGACACACACAGACATACACACAGACACACATATACACACACAGACACACATACAGACACACACAGACACACATACACACAGAGACACACACACACAGACACACACACAGACACATATACACACAGAGACACACACAGACACACAGAGACACACACAGACACACAGACACACATACAGACATACACACAGAGACACACACACAGACACATATACAGACACATACACACAGAGACACACACAGACACACACACAGAAACATATACACACAGACACACATACAGACACACACAGACACACATACACACATACACACAGACACACACAGACACATATACACACAGACACATACACACAGAGACACACACAGACACATATACACACAGACACACAGACACACATACAGACACACACAGACACACATACACACATACACACAGAGACACACACAGACACATATACACACAGACACACATACACACATACACAGAGACACACACACAGACACATATACACACAGACATATACACACAGAGACACACACACAGACACATATACACACAGACACAGAGACACACACACAGAGACACACATACAGACACACACAGACACACATACACACAGAGACACACACAGACACATATACACACAGACACATACACACAGAGGCACACACAGACAGACACACAGACACATATACACACAGACACACACACAGAGACACACATACAGACACACACAGACACACATACACAGAGACACACACAGACACATATACACACAGACACACAGACACACACACAGACACACAGAGACACACACAGACACATATACACACAGACACACACAGACACATATACACACAGACACACACACAGAGACACACATACAGACACACACAGACACACACATACACACAGACACACACAGACACATATACACACACATACACACAGAGACACACACAGACACACACACAGAGACACACATACAGACACACACAGACACACATACACACATACACACAGAGACACACACAGACACATATACACACAGACACACAGACACACACAGACACACAGAGACACACACAGACACACACACAGACATATACACACACATACACACAGAGACACACACAGACACACACACTGACACATACACACAGACACACAGAGACACACACAGACACATAGACACACACACACAGACACACATACACAGACACACACAGACACACATACACACAGAGACACACACAGACACACACACTGACACATACACACAGACACACAGAGACACAGACAGACACATAGACACACACACATACACAGACACACACATACACACAGACACACAGAGACACACACACACAGACACACATACACAGACACACATACACAGACACATACACACAGACACACAGAGACACACACAGACACATAGACACACACAGACACACATACACAGACACACACAGACACACATACACACAGAGACAGACACACACAGACACACATACACACAGAGACACACACAGACACACAGACACACACAGACACACAGACACACAGAAAGAGCAGGAAATACTCCCTCAACCTCATCTCACCCGCTGGGTTTTCTTTCTCTCTGTCTCTGTCTCTTTCTTTCTCTTTTTCTCTTTCTCTCTCTCTGTCTTTTTCTTTTTCTTTCTCTTTCTCTCTCTCTCTTTCTTTCTTCTTTCTTTCTCTCTCTTTCTTTTTCTTTCCTTTCTTGTGTCAGCCTGTTGCCCAGGCTAGAGTGCAATTGCGGTGTCTGTCTTCACTCACAGCAACCTCCATCCACTGGGTTCAAGTGATTCTCCTGCCTCAGCCTCCCAAGGAGCTGGGACGACAGGCGCCCGCCACCACGCGCGGCTAATTTTTGTATTTTTAGTAGAGATGGGGTTTCACCATGTTGGCCAGGCTGGTCTCGAACTGCGGACCTCAGGTGATCCGCCCGCCTCGGCCTCCCAAAGTGCTGGGATGACAGGCCCGAGGCACTCAGCTCAGAAGGGAGGGATGTGGGGTCGTCCCTGTGAGGTGATGGGTCTCTTATTTCTTCTTCTCAGTGAAACCCGCGTCCCCGAAGGCCGTGAGCTTCGAGTGGCATCAGGACTCAGTCACGGTGACGTGTCCTGACCTGGGGTACAAGGATCTCCTCTATGAGGTCCAGCACCAGAGCATCTTTGACTCCAAGTGGCAGGTGAGGCGGGCGGCCGCGACGCAGGGCAGCGGTGGCTGAGCGTCCCCCGGATACGGGCTGTGGGACTCGCTGTTTATGAGAACCCAGGTCCCCTCGGGCTCCACCTCCCTGAATTCCACTCCGCTGTTTCTTCCCGAGACAGCTCTAGTCCAGCTTGACTTCTGCATGGCTCTCTCTGTGTCTCCGAGGGGGCTCCAGAGAAAGAGAACCGACAACATGGCTGTCAGTCCATCAGTCTGTTTCTCTATCTATCTATGCATCTATCTATCTATCTATCTACCTATCTATCTATCATCTATCTATCTATCTATCTATCATCTATCTATCTACCTATCTATCATCTATCTATCTATCTATCTATCTATCTATCATCTATCTATCTATCTATCTATCATCTATCTATCATCTATCTATCTATCTATCTATGCATCTATCTATCTATCTATCATCTATCTATCTATCTATCTATCATCTATCTATCTATCTATCATCTATCTATCTATCTACCATCTATCTATCTATCTATCTATCATCTATCTATCTATCTATCATCTATCTATCTATCACCTATCTATCTATCATCTATCTATCTATCTATCTATCATCTATCTATCTATGCATCTATCTATCTATCATCTATCTATCTATCTATCATCTATCTATCTATCTATGCATCTATCTATCTATCATCTATCTATCTATCATCTATCTATCATCTATCCATCTATCTATCATCTATCTATCATCTATCTATCTATCATCTATCTATCTATCATCTATCTATCTATCTATCTATCATCTATCTATCTATCATCTATCTATCTATCTATCTATCATCTATCTATCTATCATCTATCTATCTATCTATCTATCATCTATCTATCTATCTATCATCTATCTATCTATCTATCATCTATCTATCTATCTATGCATCTATCTATCTATCTATCATCTATCTATGTATCTATGCATCTATCTATCTATCTATCTATCATCTATCTATCTATCTATCTATCATCTATCTATCTATCTATCTATCATCTATCTATCTATCTATCTATCTACCATCTATCTATCTATCATCTATCTATCTATCTATCTATCATCTATCTATCATCTATCTATCTACCTATCATCTATCTATCTATCTACCATCTATCTATCTATCTATCTATCATCTATCTATCTATCTATCATCTATCTATCATCTATCTATCTATCTATCTATCATCTATCTACCTATCTATCTATCTATCATCTATCTATCTATCTATCTATGCATCTATCTATCTATCTATCTATCATCTATCTATCTATCATCTATCTATCTACCTATCTATCATCTATCTATCTATCTATCTATCATCTATCTATCTATCTATGCATCTATCTATCTATCTATCATCTATCTATCTATCATCTATCTATCTATCTATCTATCATCTATCTATCTATGCATCTATCTATCTATCATCTATCTATCTATCTATCTATCATCTATCTATCTATCTATCTATCTATCATCTATCTATCTATCATCTATCTATCTATCATCTATCTATCTATCTATCTATCTATCATCTATCTATCTATCTATCATCTATCTATCTATCATCTATCTATCTATCATCTATCTATCTATCTATCATCTATCTATCTATCTATCTATCATCTATCTATCTATCATCTATCTATCTATCTATCATCTATCTATCTATCATCTATCTATCTATCATCTATCTATCTATCTATCATCTATCTATCTATCTATCTATCTATCTATCTATCAATCTATCATCTATCTATCTATCTACCATCTATCTATCTATCTATCTATCATCTATCTATCTATCTACCATCTATCTATCTATCTATCTATCTATCATCTATCTATCTATCATCTATCTATCTATCTATCTATCTATCTATCATCTATCTATCTATCTATGCATCTATCTATCATCTATCTATCTATCATCTATCTATCTATCTATCATCTATCTGTCTGTCTATGTGTCTATCTATCCATGTATCCATCCGTCTGTCTGTTCATTTATCTGTATGTGGATCTATCATCTCTTTATCTATATGTCTATCCATCTATCCATCTCTCTGTCTATCATCATCTATGTCTATTTATCTATCTACGTGTCTATCCATCTATCCGCCTGTCTCTGTTCATCTGTTTATCCATCTGCTGTTCATCTATCTATCTATATATGCATCTATCTATCATCTATTTATCTGTATGTCTATCTATCTTTCCATCTGTCTATCATCGTCTGTGTTTTTCTATTTATCTATGTGTCTATCTATCCATCTATCTCTCTATCATCATCTATGTCTATTTATCTATCTACCTGTCTATCCATCTATCCATCTGTCTCTCTGTTCATCTGTTTATCTATCTATCCATCTGCTGTTCATCTATCTATCTATATATGGATCTATCATCTAGTTATCTATATGTCTATCTATCTTTCCATCTATCATCATCTATGTTTTTCTATTTATCTGTTTATGTGTCTATCTATCCATCTATCTGTCTGTTCAACTGTTTATCTGTCCATCTGTCTGTCTGTTCATCTATCTATCTAACCGTCTGTCTATGTACCAATTGATCTATATATGTATGTATCTATCTATCATCTATCTATCTATCCATTTGTCTATCTCTGGATCTATCTATCAATTGATCTATATGTGTGTGTATTTATCATCTATCTCTCTATCTATGTATCTATCCATCTATCTATCTATGTGTCTATCTATCTATCTATCATGTTTCTGTCTATCATCTATCTATCTATGTATCTATCCATCTATCTATGTATGTGTCTATCTATGTATCTATCTATCATGTTTCTATCTATCTATCTATCTATGTATCTATCCATCTGTCTATCTATGTGTCTATCTATGTATCTATCTATCATGTTTCTATCTATCTATCGATCTATCCATCTATGTATCTATCCATCTGTCTGTCTATCTATGTGTCTATCTATGTATCTATTTATCATGTTTCTATCTATCTATCTATCATCTATGTATCTATCCATCTGTCTATCCATGTGTCTATCTAAGTATCTATCTGTCTATCTATGTGTCTATCTATGTATCTATCTATCTATCTATCTATCTATCTATCATGTATCTATCCATCTGTCTATCTATGTGTCTATCGATCTATCATGTTTCTATCTATCTATGTATCTATCCATCTGTCTAGCTATGTGTGTATCTATGTATCTATGTATCTATCCATCTGTCTATCCATGTGTCTATCTATGTGTCTATCTATCTATCTATCATGTTTCTGTCTATCATCTATCTATCATCTATGTATCTATCCATCTGTCTGTCTATCCATGTGTCTATCTATGAATCTATCTATCATGTTTCTATCATCTATGTATCTATCCATCTGTCTATCTCTGTCTGGATCTATGCACTGATGCACATATGTATGTACATATCTATGTATCTGTCATCTATTTGTATCTATTATCCCTATCTATGTGTCCTTCAATCTATCATGTATCTATTTGTTGTACCGACTGCCTTTGTTCCGTCCCTCCATTGCTCTGTCTGTGTCTGTTTTATCTACCTATGTCTATCGATCACCTGTGTCATAATCTCTACCTCATCTATCATCTCTATCTACCTGGCCATCTGTTATTTCTCTCTATTCTATCACCTACTGTCCTATCAATCTATGTATTTATCTATCACCATATGTATGTACCTGTCATCTCTCTATCTACTATTTACCTATCATCTATCTATGAAATCTATCATCTCTGTTTTCTCTACTTATCATCTGTTTATTTCTCTCTATTCCTATATCTCTACTATCTCTATTTCTACCTATGTACATGCAGAGACACACAGAGACACACAGACACACTGACACACACACTCAGAGACACAGACACACACATATACACACAGACACACTCAGATACAGACAGACACACACAGACATAGACACACACAGCCAAAGACACACACAGACACACTGACACACACACTCAGAGACACAGACACACACATATACACACAGAGACACTCATATACAGACAGACACACACAGCCACAGACACACACAGACACACATGCACATACACACAGATACATATACAGATACAGACACACACAGACATAGACACACACAGCCACATACACACACAGAGACACACACAGACACACATGCACATACACACAGATGCACATACAGATACAGACACACACATATACATAGACACACACACAGCCACACATACAGACACACAGACACACACACTGAGACACACACACAGTCACACACGCAGATACACACAGACACACACTGAGACACACAGACAGTCACACACGCAGATACACACAGACACACACAGGCATAGACACACACAGCCACAGACACACACAGACACACATGCACATACACACAGATACACATACAGATACATAGACACACACAGCCACACATACACACACACAGAGACACACAGACACACACTGAGACACACACACAGTCACACACGCAGATACACAGAGACACACATAGACACACACACAGAGCCACACATACACACAGAGACCCACAGACACACACACTGACACATACACTCGGACACACAGACACACACACACTGAGACACACACACAGTCACACACGCAGATACACACAGACACACACAGATACATAGACACACACACAGCCACACATACACACACAGAGACAGACACACACAGACGCACACACATAGTCACGTGCTGCCTAAGGATGTGTTGGTCTTCAGCTGGACCAATTATATGCACACCTTATATGTACACACACATATACATACATATATACATATACACCTTATACACACAGCTTAGATATACACATATATATGCACACCTGTACATACACAGCTTATATACGCAGTTAGATATACACATACACATCTTATGTACACAGCTCAGATACACATATATACACACAGCTTAGATATACACATATATATGCACACCTTATATATACACACCTAATATACACAGATATACACATACACACCTTATGTACACAGCTTAGATACACATATATACACACAGCTTATATATACACACATATATACATACACATATACATACACACCTTATATACAAAGCTTACACACATATATATTTATATACACACATAGACACCTTATATATACAGCTTACATACACACATATATATACACACATATATATACACACCTAATATACACAGATATACACATACACACCTTATGTACACAGCTTAGATACAGATATATACACACAGCTTATATATACACACATATATACATACACATATACATACACACCTTATATACAAAGCTTACACACATATATATTTATATACACACATAGACACCTTATATATACAGCTTACATACACACATATATATACACACATATATATACACACCTAATATACACAGATATACACATACACACCTTATGTACACAGCTTAGATACACATATATACACACAGCTTATATATACACACATATATACATACACATATACATACACACCTTATATACAAAGCTTACACACATATATATTTATACACACACATAGACACCTTATATATACAGCTTACATACACACATATATATACACACATATATATACACACCTAATATACACAGATATACACATACACACCTTATGTACACAGCTTAGATACACATATATACACACAGCTTATATATACACACATATATACATACACATATACATACACACCTTATATACAAAGCTTACACACATATATATTTATATACACATATAGACACCTTATATATACAGCTTACATACACACATATATATACACACCTAATATACACAGATATACACATACACACCTTATGTACACAGCTTACACATATATACACACAGCTTATATATACACACATATATACATACACATATACATACACACCTTATATACAAAGCTTACACACATATATATTTATACACACACATAGATACCTTATATATACAGCTTACATACACACATATATATACACACCTTATATACACAGCTTAGATACACACATATATACACACATATATATACACAGCTTAGATACACACACATATATACACACATATATATACACACCTTATATACAGAGCTTAGATACACACATATATATACACACACATGTATACACACCTTATCTACACAGCTTACATATATATGCACACATAGGTACACACATATATACACACATTATATATGCAGCTTAGATGTACGCATATATATATACACACACCTTATATACACAGCTTACACACCCACACATATGTACACACACATATACATACCTTATATATACAGCTTAGATACACACATAATATGCACACACCTTATAAATACAGCTTACATACACACAAATATATACAGACACACATATACACACCTTGTATACACAGCTTAGATACACACATACATATACACACACATATACATAGCTTATATATACAGTTTAGATACACACATACATATACACACAAACTCACACATATACACACCTTGTATACACAGCTTAGATACACACATATATGTACACACACATACACACCTTATATATACAGTTTAGATACACACATACATATACACACAAACACACACATATACACACCTTGTATACACAGCTTAGATACACACATATGTACACACACACATACACACCTTATATACACAGTTTAGGTGCACACATACATATACACACATATATACACCTTACATACACAGCTTAGAAACACATATATGTACACACACATATATACATAACCTTATATACACAGAGTAGATACACACATGTACATACACATATATACATAGCTTATATATGTGCATAGATGCACATACACACACGTTATACATAGCTTATATATACAGTTTAGATACACACATACATATACACACAAACTCACACATATACACACCTTGTATACACAGCTTAGATACACACATATGTACACACACATATACATACCTTATATATACAGCTTAGATACACACATGATATACACACACCTTATAAATACAGCTTACATACACACAAATATATACAGACACACATATACACACCTTGTATACACAGCTTAGATACACACATATGTACACACACACATACACACCTTATATACACAGTTTAGATACACACATACATATACACACAAACACACACATATACACACCTTGTATACACAGCTTAGATACACACATATATGTACACGCACATATACACACCTTATATACACAGCTTAGGTGCACACATACATATACACACATATATACACCTTATATACACAGCTTAGAAACACATATATGTACACACACATATATACATAACCTTATATACACAGAGTAGATACACACATGTACATACATACATATACATAGCTTATATATGTGCATAGATGCACATACACACACGTTATATACACAGCTTATATATGTGCATATATACACACAAACACATAGACACATACACACATATATGTACACGCACATAGACACACCTTATATACACAGCTTAGGTGCACACATACATATACACACATATATACACCTTACATACACAGCTTAGAAACACATATATGTACACACACATATATACATAACCTTATATACACAGTAGATACACACATGTACATACACACATATACATACCTTATATATACAGCTTAGATACACACATAATATGCACACACCTTATAAATACAGCTTACATACACACAAATATATACAGACACACAAATACACACCTTGTATACACAGCTTAGATACACACATACATATACACACACATATACATAGCTTATATATACAGTTTAGATACACACATACATATACACACAAACTCACACATATACACACCTTGTATACACAGCTTAGATACACACATATGTACACACACACATACACACCTTATATACACAGTTTAGATACACACATACATATACACACAAACTCACACATATACACACCTTGTATACACAGCTTAGATACACACATATGTACACACACATACACACCTTATATACACAGTTTAGATACACACATACATATACACACAAACACACACATATACACACCTTGTATACACAGCTTAGATACACACATATATGTACATGCACACGCACATAGACACACTTTGTATACACAGCTTAGGTGCACACATACATATACACACATATATACACCTTACATACACAGCTTAGAAACACATATATGTACACACACATATATACATAACCTTATATACACAGTAGATACACACATGTACATACACACATATACATAGCTTATATATGTGCATAGATGCACATACACACACGTTATACACACAGCTTATATATGTGCATATATACACACTAACACATAGACACGTACACACATATATGTACACGCACATATACACACCTTGTATACACAGCTTAGGTGCACACATACATATACACACATATATACACCTTACATACACAGCTTAGAAACATATATGTACACACACATATATACATAACCTTATATACACAGTAGATACACACATGTACATACACACATATACATAGCTTATATATGTGCATAGATGCACATACACACACGTTATACACACAGCTTATATATGTGCATAGATACACACAAACACATAGACACGTACACACAGAGCTATCTTACTAGTACATCGACATATCTTCACGCATACATACACATATGTATCAATGGATACATAGAAGAGAACGTGTATCTGTATCTTTTTTTTTGATTTTTGTAGAGATGGAGTTTCACCGTCTTTCCCAGGCTGGTCTTGAACTCCCGAGCTCAGGCAATGCACCTGCCTTGGACTCCCAAAGTGTTAGGGTAGCAGACCTGGGCCACCACACCTGGCCTGTGTATCTGTATCTGTACATGCATTTATATCTGTAAAGATACATAGTCATAGGCCGGGCACAGTGGCTCACGCCTGTCATCCCAGCACTTTGGGAGGCCGAGGCGGGTGGATCACGAGGTCAGGAGTTCGAGGCCAGCCTGAACAACATGGCGAAACCCCGTCTCTAGTAAAAATACAAAAATTAGCCGGGAATGGTGGCAGGTGCCAGGAATCCAGCTACCTGGGAGTCTGAGTCAGGGGAATCACTCGAACCCGGGAGGCGGAGGCTGCGGCGAGCCCAGGTTGCGGCCATGGTACTCCAGCCTGGGCGACAAGAGTGAGACTCAGTCGCACACCGGCCCCTCCCGATAACCGTCTGCAGACAAAAGAACAGCAGAATGAAAGCGGCCGAGAGGGGAATGAAAACGTGTAGGTGTTTGGGGGCCTAAAATGACAGGGCCAGGGTTATGTCACTCATCATTCCGTGTGTGTGTGTGTGTGTGTGTGTGTGTGTGTGTCTGTGTCTGTGTGTGTCTGTGTGTGTCTGTGTGTGTGTCTGTGTGTCTGTGTATGTGTCTGTGTGTGTTTGTGTCTGTGTGTGTGTCTGTCTGTGTGTGTGTTTGTGTGTCTGTGTGTATTTGTGTGTGTCTGTGTGTGTGCCTGTGTGTGTGTCTGTGTGTGTGTTTGTGTGTGTTTGTGTGTGTCTGTGTGTGTCTGTGTGTCTGTGTGTGTGTCTGTCTGTGTGTCTGTGTGTCTGTGTGTGTGTCTGTGTGTGTGTCTGTGTGTGTGTTTGTGTGTCTGTGTGTGTATCTGCGTGTGTGTGTCTGTGTGTGTGTCTGCGTGTGTGTCTGTGTGTGTGTGTCTGTGTGTGTCTGTGTGTGTGTCTGTGTCTGTGTGTGTGTGTCTGTGTCTGTGTGTGTGTCTGTGTGTGTGTCTGCGTGTGTGTCTGTGTGTGTGTGTCTGTGTGTGTGTGTGTGTGTGTCTGTGTGTGTGTGTGTGTCTGTGTGTGTGTGTTTCTCCAGTCCAAAGAAAGAGACACCTGCAACGTCACCATCGAAGACCTGGACCCCGAGAACTGCTACTCTCTGCGGGTCAGGGTGAAGGCCACACAAGTCGCCTACGGGTCAGACACGTACCCCAGCGACTGGTCGGAGGCGACGCACTGGCGAAGAGGAGAGCGGACGGGTAATGCTTGTTACGCGGCAGGGCCGCGCGCACACCGCTACATGGAACGGAACACGTGCATGGATCTTTACATCCGTGTCTATCTACATGCATGGACACAGCGCACGCCTGTCATCCTGGCGCTGTGGAAACTGGGACCGAGAAGAACAGAGACCAAAAGACACAAGAAAAGGAAAATTTCTTCCCTCCTTCCTTCCTTCCTTCCTTCCTTCGTCTCTCTCTCTCTCTCTCTCTCTCTTCCTTTCTTTCCCTCCCTCCCTCCCTCCCTCCCTCCTTCCTTCCTTCCTTCCTTCCTTCGTCTCTCTCTCTCTGTCTCTCTCTCTCTTTCTTTCTTTCCTCTCTGTGTTTCTTTTCTTTTGAGATGGAGTCTCGCTCTGCTGCCCAGGCTGGGGTACAATAGCGAAGTCGCCCACCGCAGCCTCCGCCTCCCGGGTTCAAGCCATCCTCCCGCCTCAGCCTCCCGAGTAGCTGGGATCACAGGCGCCCCCCACCAGGCCCGGCTGATTTATGCATTTTCAGTAGAGATGGGGTTTCGCCATGTTGACCAGGCCGGTCTCAAACTCCTGACTGCGAGATCCGCCGTCCTCGGCCTCCCAAAGTGCTGGGATGACGGAAGGAGGGAAGGAAGGAAGGAAGGATGGAGGGAAGGAGGGAGAGAGGGAGCGAAGGAAGGAGGGAGGGAAGGAAGGAGGGAGGGAAGGAAGGAAGAAAAGAAAAACATAAAGGAAGGAAGGAAAGAAAAAGACAGAATGAAAGAAGGAAAGAAATAAAGAAGGGAAGGAAGGAAAGAAAAAGAAAAGAAAGAAAGAGGAAGAAAGAGAAATTCTCCCGCCTCAGCCTCCCGAGTAGCTGGGACTCCAGGCACCCGCCACCAGGCCTGGCTAATTTTTGCATTTTTAGTAGAGATGGGGTTTCACCATGTTGACCAGGCCGGTCTCGAACTCCCGACCTCGTGATCCGCCCGCCTCGGCCTCCCGAAGTGCTGGGATGACAGGCGACCTCCATCATGCCCGGCTAATTTTTGCATTTTTAGTAGAGACGTGGTGTTACCATTTTTAGTAGAGATGGGGTTTCACCACGTTGACCAGGCCGGTCTCGAACTCCCGACCTCGTGATCCGCCCGCCTCGGCCTCCCAAAGTGCTGGGATTACAGGCGACCTCCATCATGCCCGGCTAATTTTTGCATTTTTAGTAGAGACGTGGTGTTACCATTTTTAGTAGAGATGGGGTTTCACCACGTTGGCCAGGCTGGTCTCGAACTCCCGACCTCCTGATCCGCCCGCCTCGGCCTCCCAAAGTGCTGGGATGACAGGCGACCTCCATCATGCCCGGCTAATTTTTGCATTTTTAGTAGAGACGTGGTGTTACCATTTTAGTAGAGATGGGGTTTCACCACGTTGGCCAGGCTGGTCTCGAACCTCCCGACCTCCTGATCCGCCCGCCTCGGCCTCCCAAAGTGCTGGGATGACAGGCGACCTCCATCATGCCCGGCTAATTTTTGCATTTTTAGTAGAGACGTGGTGTTACCATTTTTAGTAGAGATGGGGTTTCACCACGTTGACCAGGCCGGTCTCGAACTCCCGACCTCCTGATCCGCCCGCCTCGGCCTCCCAAAGTGCTGGGATGACAGGCGACCTCCATCATGCCCGGCTAATTTTTGCATTTTTAGTAGAGACGTGGTGTTACCATTTTTAGTAGAGATGGGGTTTCACCACGTTGACCAGGCCGGTCTCGAACTCCCGACCTCGTGATCCGTCCGCCTCGGCCTCCCGAAGTGCTGGGATGACAGGCGTGAGCCACCGTGTATGTTTTCAGGGGCCCCGTTTAAGGCACAGACCCAGCAATAGCCCAGTGCAAGGTCTCCTGTGCCGTGAACACCCCCAGACACCCCCGGCCTCCGAGGCGGGTGGATCACGAGGTCAGGAGTTCGAGACCATCCCGGTCAACATGGTGAATCCCCGTCTCTCCTAAAAATACAATAATTACCCGGGCACGGTGGCGCGTGCCTGTAGACCCAGCTACTGGGGAGACTGAGGCAGGAGAATCGCTTGAACCCGGGAGGCGGAGGTTGCGTTGAGCTGAGATTCTGTCTCAAAAATAAATAAATAAATAAAATAAATAAAACATTTGCTGACACTGATATATTAAAAAAAAATTAAAAAAAAAAAAAGGCCAGGTCCAGTGGTTCACACCTGTAATCCCAGCACTTTGGGAGGCCGAGGCGGGTGGATCACCTGAGGTCGGGAGTTCGAGACCAGCCTGGTCAACATGGTGAAACCCTGTCTCTACTAAAAATACAAAAATTAGCCATGCGTGGTGGGGGGGCACCTGTTATCCCAGCTACTCGGGAGGCTGAGGCAGGAGGATGGCTTGAACCCGGGAGGCGGAGGCCGCACTGAGCCGAGATCGTGCCAACACACTCCAGCCTGGGCGACACAGCGAGACTCGGTCTCAAGAAAACCCCCCAAAACGCAAAACACACACCCAAAAAACTGAACAAAAACACCATGAGGATGGCGGTGAGGGATGAGAACTAGTTAAGAGGTCACAGCGGGTTCAAAACTCACGGACGCCTTTTCCTTGTGTCTTAGATTCCTGCTCGGAGACGCAAAGGGCCCCCAAAGCCAAGCCCCCCAGATTCACCCTGATTTCCGGCCTCCTTCTCCTGGTGATGCTGCCCCTTCTCCTCCTGGGTTTATGGAGGACACGCAGGTAAGAACCACTCCTGCCGACCCCCTTACACACGTGGCCGGAGGGTCCCGCTTCCAAAGCGCCCGTGGAATGGGAAGATCGATCACCCGAGACTCTCACGTCCCTGAGCCTCAGTTTCCATCCAATGCCCACTTTTCTCACGGTGCATGACGAGAAATGTGGGAGCAGCGCCGTCCCGCAGGTGCAGGGACATGTGGAATATTCACTGAGAAATATTCTGTTTTTGTTTGTTTGTTTGTTTGTTTGAGATGGAGTCTTGCTGTGTTGCCCAGGCTGGAGAGCAATGGTGTGATCTCAGCTCACCGCAGCCTCCCCCTCCCGGGTTCAAGCGATCCTCCTGCCTCAGCCTCCCGAGTAGCTGGGATTACAGGCACCTGCCACCACGCCCGGCTAATTTTGTATTTTACTAGAGACGGGGTTTCATCATGTCGGTCAGGCTGGTCTTGAACTCCCGACCTCAACTCATCCACCCGCCTCAGCTTCTCACAGTGCAGGGACTACAGGGCTGAGTCACCGCGCCTGGCCACTTTTTTCCTCCTTCCCTCCCTCCCTCCTTCCTTCCTTCCCTTCCTGCCTCCATCCCTCTCTCCCTCTCTCCCTTCCGCCCTATGTCCCTTCCTCCCTCCCTTCCTCCCTCTGTCCCTCCTTCCCTCCCTCCCTTCCTTCCCTCCCTCTCTCCCTCCCTCCCTCTTTCCTTCCCTCCCTCTCTCTCCCTCCCTCCTTTCCTTCCCTCCCTCTCTCCCTCTCTCCCTCCCTCCCTCCTTTCCCTCTGTCTCTCCCTCCCTCCCTCCCTCTTCCCTCCCTTCCTTCCCTCCCTCTCTCCCTCCTGCCCTCCCTCCTTCCTTCCCTCCCTCCCTCGTTCCTTCCCTCCCTCCTTCTTTCCCTCCCTCCCTCCCCTCCTTCCTCTCTCTTTCTCTCTTTTGCCTTCCTTCCCCGCCTTCCTTCCTTCCTTTCTTTTCTCTTCTTTTCACAGAGTCTCCCTCTGTCCCCCAGGCTGGAGTGCAATGGGCCAGTCTCAGCTCAGTGCAACCTCCGCCTCCCGGGTTCAACCGATCCTCCTGCCTCAGTCTCCCGAGCAGCTGGGACGACAGGCACCCACCGCCAGGCCTGGCTAATTCTGTATTTTAGTAGAGACGGGGTTTCACCGTGTTGGTCAGGCTGGTCTCGAACTCCCGACCTCAGGTGTTCCTCCTGCCTCAGCCTCCCGAAGTGCAGGGAGGACAGGCCTGAGCCACGTCTCCGGCCCTGGTGGGATCTATATGAGGACTCAGAGTCGGGGTCTCTGGTGAGGAGGTGGACGGTCCCGTGTGTTTGGTTCACGTGGAAGGCCCCCCTCTGCCTGGGTCCTGGTCTCCAAGGGGCAGCCACAGCCGTCCTCGGCCTCTCCCCGGGGTCCCTGCCAGTGCCAGGCGCAGCCACAGCCGTCCTCGGCCTCTCCCCGGGGTCCCTGCCAGTGCTGGGGCAGCCACGTCCATCCTCGGCCTCTCCCCGGGGTCCCTGGCAGTGCTGGGGCAGCCACCTCCATCCTCGGCCTCTCCCCGGGGTCCCTGCCAGTGCCGGGGCAGCCACGTCCATCCTCGGCCTCTCCCCGGGGTCCCTGGCAGTGCCGGGGCACCCACGTCCATCATCGGCCTCTCCCCGGGGTCCCTGGCAGTGCCGGGGCAGCCACGTCCATCCTCGGCCTCTCCCCGGGGTCCCTGGCAGTGCCGGGGCAGCCACGTCCATCATCGGCCTCTCCCCGGGGTCCCTGGCAGTGCCGGGGCAGCCACGTCCATCCTCGGCCTCGTCCCCGGGGTCCCTGCAGTGCCGGGCAGCCACGTCCATCCTCGGCCTCTCCCGGGGTCCCTGGCAGTGCCGGGGCAGCCACCTCCATCCTTGGCCTCTCCCCGGGGTCCCTGCCAGTGCCGGGGCAGCCACGTCCATCCTCGGCCTCTCCCCTGTGTCCCTGTCAGTGCCGGGGCAGCCACGTCCATCCTCGGCCTCTCCCCGGGGTCCCTGCCAGTGCTGGGGCAGCCACGTCCATCCTCGGCCTCTCCCCGGGGTCCCTGTCAGTGCCGGGGCAGCCACGTCCATCCTCGGCCTCTCCCCGGGGTCCCTGCCAGTGCTGGGGCAGCCACGTCCATCCTCGGCCTCTCCCCTGTGTCCCTGTCAGTGCTGGGGCAGCCACGTCCATCCTCGGCCTCTCCCCGGGGTCCCTCCAGTGCCACTTGGGGGGTGCAGTGCAGGTGACCCCGCCCTCCGTCTGTGTTTCAGGCTGAAGAAATGTGTCATGCCCACCGTGCCAGACCCCAAGGCCACCTTCCCTGGGCTCTTTGAGAAGCACGAAGGGAACTTCCAGGTACCCGCCCTGTCCCCGCCGCCCCCTTCTCTGTCGGGGCCACAGGCTCACGTCTCCCTCAGTGGCCCTTTCGGAGAATGACTTCAGGGCCGGGCGAGGAGGCTCAGGCCTGACAACCCGGCACTTAGGGAGGCCCAGGTGGGTGGGTCCGGTGAGGTCAGGAGTTCGAGACCAGTGTGGGCAGATGGCGAAACCCTGCTCTTTAAAGGAAGAAAATAAGAAAATCACGTTAGGTCGCTGCTCCGTGGAAACACTGAGTACTGCATAGGTGGAGGAAAAAAGACAGAGAGAGACAAAAAGTAAGGAAGGAAGGAAGGAAGGAAGGGAGGGAGGGAGGGAGGGAGGAGGGAGGGAGGGAGGGAGGGAGA